TTTATTCCTGTCCTGCCCCTAGGTTCCTCAGGACCATTTTTTTAGATTCCATATATATGTGTCAGCATACGGTATTTGTTTTTCTCTTTCTGACTTACTTCACTCTGTATGACAGACTGTAGGTCCATCCACCTCACTACAAATAACTCAATTTCGTTTACTTTTATGGCTGAGTAATATTCCATTGTGTATATGTGCCACACCTTCTTTATCCATTCATCTGTCGATGGACACTTAGGTTGCTTCCATGTCCTGGCTATTGTAAATAGAGCTGCAATGACATTTCTATAACTTTAAAGTTCAGAAAATGTTTTCAAATTTTACTGTAGGCTAAATAATTTAGTGAAAGGGGAAAAAAGATATGGACATAATACCATGGAATTATTGATCTTTCTTTCATTCCTCTTACTTTCAAGAGATTAATTTCTCATAAAATACACCAGAAGTACATGCAGGATAAAAGATAATCAGAAATGGTAACTGTTCACTTTGGTAGGTAAAAAACAAAAACAAACAACAACAAACTTTTGCATTCAAACCTAAAACCTTTATTTTTCTGGAAAACAAAATACCCCTTCACATACATTTCACTTATATTTGGTCCAAAACTTATCTTTTCACCAAAGCAAAATTTCTGAACAGTATCATCCTCCAAAGTTTTCCCCAGATAGGTGAACACAAATGCAGAAACAAGTAAAAGTGAAGGACACAACTGAGACCACTATAAAGTCACAATCATTGTGGCAATAATATTTATGTTTCCTCCCCTTTTATATCAAATCGGTGCTACCAAGAAGTTAAACTATTTCAAGACTTCTGACACAGAATCCAGACACAGACAAGCATCTTTCTAAGGACATCCGAAGCAAACAGCTGATGGAGAATTCTAGTTTGTACAGGCAGCTGGTGCTTCAAAACACGTCAATCCATTTAGCTTTATTAAAGGCCAAATTACAGGAATAAGGCATACCTAGCTGTCTCATTCAAATAGATGCAGAGCAATTTAAAAAATTAAGCATCCAACTTTTGTTTTAGGGTTGGAGAAGAGAGGAAGTAAAAAAAAAAAAGAAAAAAGAAAAGAAGAAACAGAGCCCCCAGCAGCTGGGTAATCAGAATATCCTCCCAGTCAGCGACCCACTCAGTCAACGATCTTGGTGGCTCGCTTCAGCCCCGGGCAGACGCCCGTTCCCATTTAGGCTGAGCAATCTCCGGCTAATAAATCACTCCAAATGCCAGAGGGTAGCACCTGTTCCCATTCTCCAAGCAGCAACTGAAGGAAGTGTCCTTGGCTAAGCCCAGTCACCCTTAACATGCCATTTCAAACATCAAGAGATACACTTTGCAAAGGTATTTCACACCCGTCACTACTCTAGGAAGTGCTAGGCTAATAAAGATGGCTAATGTTTGTTGACCGCTTACTGTGTGCTTACTAAGCCCCTTTAATTTATTCTTCCATGAACCTTCACAATATCCCTATAAGATCAGGACTCATATAGTATCGAGGAAACTGAGGCAGACAGAGGTCAGCCAATATCACAGGTAGACGTGGAGCCAGGGGTGAACCCAGCAGGCATGACTTTGGATCCTTTATTCACAGCCACTAGGTTGAGCTGCCATCTCGCCAGACAGCCTAGTCATTGCCCACCTGCCCACACCTCCTTGGAAGAGAATCTGCTCTCCTCATAGCACCCTCCTCCCATCCCCCAAGCTACAGGTAACCGGACCAGACACCTGACTCTGGGTTTAATATCCAAAGGCCAGGTACACTCATTCAATATTCTTGAAAATCTGAATGACACCACTGAATGGGTCAGGTCCTTCCCGATGTTGAGTGTGTGAGCCCTCTGTATCCATTCAACAAACTTCCTGTTCACTTACTCTATTTTGAGTGATCTCTGTTCCCTGAAACCAGAGGCAACTGATGAAGGTCAAGGTGGTATCAGTAGGGCTGGCTCCAGCAACCTTACTCCTGATTTCAACCCTTCAAATCTTCTGCTACTTCCTGCCATATCTGGTGGGTTTCCTGATAATTCCTCTTCTTTCCTAGAGCAGGTGTCCTGATGGAATAACTTGAATTTATTTAGGTATTTCTCCAATAAGGTACTCATAGAGTTTAATATGCATTAGGTCTGTCCTTTATGCACACGCACAGACATATATACCCTCTACCTGAGAAAGGTGACTTTATATAGATAGGGCAGAGAAAATCTATTCTTAGACATACATCCAACCTGGGTTCCTGGTACCTCTATTTCTCCAATGCCCACTACTGAGCCAGGAACATCCTCCACCTTGTCAAAGTCCCAGAAACAGCAAACAGAGTCTCTATAGCACTTACTAAAGACGTTTAAAACATTTTGTTCACCAATGAAGTATAGTAGTAAACCAGTAGCAGAGCCATTATTCACCCAATGAAGGGAGGGAGAATAAAGGAAGCACTGGAAATATTTTATCATACTCGAGAGGGTTTTTAAGAGTTTCCTGAGTCACAGAAGAGAAGTTTCTCAACACCCCTGCCTTTAGACCTTAATGTTAGTGGGTTATTTTTTGTTAAAAATTGCAGATTTCCTAAAAGCACTTTTCACCCTTTTATTAGTTCCACAAATACTTTGGTGCACACCACTAGGCACTGAAACAGCCATGAACAGGCTGCCAAAATTTCTCCCCTCACGGCACTTACAGTGGAGTGGGCGGCGCAGACAGCAGCCAGTTCACTATCATGAAGCAAATGCTTCTGCACAAGGGAAGGCGAGAGGGGCCCACAGTGAAACCACACAACTCAGATTGGGACTTGAACCCAGCTATAATTCAGACTGAGACTTGACCCCACGGTCTTTTTGTTTTTTTTTTTAACATCTTTATTGGGGTATAATTGCTTTACAATGGTGTGTTAGTTTCTGCTTTATAACAAAGTGAATCAGTTATACATATACATATGTTCCCATATCTCTTCCCTCTTGTGTCTCCCTCCCTCCCACCCTCCCTATCCCACCCCTCCAGGCGGTCACAAAGCACCGAGCTGATCCACAGTCTTTTAATTGAGATCACACACCTCATCTTAGGACTTACTGAAGCTCAGGTTCTTTATGTCTCATCGCAGAAAGAATTCAGTGAGAGACAAAGTGATAGATAAGAAGTGGATTTATTTAGAGAGATACACATTCCATAGAGAGAATGCGGTCTGTCTCAAAAGGTGAGAATGGCCTTGGGAGAAACACACTCCACAGACAGAGTGTGGGCCATTTTCATCTCAGAAGGCAAGAGGGCCTGAAATATAGGTGGTTAGTTTTTATGGACTGGGTAATTTCATAGGCTAATGAGTGGGAGATTATTCCAACTATTTTGGGGAATGGGAGGGGATTTCCAGGAATTGGGCCACTGCCCACTTTTTGCCCTTTTCTGGTTGGCCTTGGAACTGTCATGGCGCTGGTAGGTGTGTCATTTGGCTAGTGTATTACAACGAGCCTAAAATGATGCTCAAGGTCCACTAGAAGTCAAATCTTCTGTCATCTTGGACCTAGTTGGTTCTAACCCATTTACGTCACATCCTCAAGGGCTATGTCATTCTTTTAAATGTTGTGCTCTGCCCCCTTCCCTCTTGTTTCAACAGGAGGGGCTCCTCACTCAGACTCTGACTGGGGTTCAGGTGGTCAGAAGAACTTTCCTAGAGAGAGCTATGTCTAATCTGAGGCCTTTGAAAGGATGAGTTGGATTTAGCCATCTGAAGGTGCAATGGGAAGGAGGCTGGGGGAGAGTGGTGGGATGATGAGTGCTCTGAGCAGAGGGAACAGCAAATGCAGAGGCACAGAAAGTAGTTTCATGCATACAGAGCTCAGGGGCTGGGGGAAAAGCTAGAGGGAAGTAGGGGTAAGCAGAGGCATCCCCAGGCCATGCAGGGAGCTTGGACTTGACCCTGAGGGCAGTGGGGAATCACTGAAGGACTTTAAACCAGATACACAACTTGACAATTATTGTTCTGATTGTGTTGTACGGAAGGGATGAGAAAGATCAAGACTGGAGTTAAGGGGAAGGGTAAACAGGCTACTGGGATAATCTGGGCACGAGGGACTGTGACCTGTACCCTTTTCTAGGGTAAAGGCAGTGGGGTGAAGAGAAACGGATGGGCTACAGTGCCCTTTAGGAGGTGGAGGATATAGGGGTTGATGACTGTGTGGATCTGGGACCCAGAGCTGCTGGATGGTTTGTGTGCCTTATATGAGGAATTAGCAAGAAGGAGGTTCTTTCTGACCACTCTGATTTTAAGGAATGTGTGGAATTGCCATGTGGTTTCAGCAAAGCTCAGGAGAGCACAGAAGACAAGAAATCTGAGAATGATCAGCATAGAGATGATAGTTAAATAGACAGTATCACCCAGGGAGAGACTGTACAGGAGAAGGGAAGGAAAGGAAATACAAAAGATGTACACTTTTTTTTTTTTTTTTTTGCTGTACGCGGGCCTCTGACTGTTGTGGCCTCTCCCGTTGCGGAGCACAGGCTCCGGACGCGCAGGCTCAGCGGCCACGGCTCACGGGCCCAGCCGCTCCGCGGCATGTGGGATCCTCCCAGACCGGGGCACGAACCCGCGTCCCCTGCATCGGCAGGCGGACTCGCAACCACTGCGCCACCAGGGAAGCCCCGAGATGCACACATTTAAGGAATGGGAAGCAGGATGAGAAGTGGGAGGGGAAGGAGAGGGGGAGGGGGATGGAGGGAAGGAAGAAGAAGGAGAAAGAGAAGAACCACTACCACCCCCCACAGAGGAGCTGGAAAGGGGAGGCAGGAATGATAGAAGGAACCAGGAAAAGTTCTGACCCAAAAAAGGAGTGAGCTTTCAAGAAAGAAGGCGTGGTCATCAGTGTCAGACGGTGCTCGAAATGAAAGGAAAATGTTTGAACACTGCAAAATTATGGGCAGTGAGGAAACGAAAGCAATACGTTCACGTGCCTTTTTCAAGCCAATGCCCTGAGGGGTCCATGGAATCAAGGAAGAGCGTTTTATACAGAAGAAACTTAATCTGTTTAGATACCAATGGGAAAGTGCCAAGAGAGAAAGAGAGGCTGAAAATCCAAAAGGGAGAATGGATAAAGCAAGGTTCTGGAGATGTGGAAGACTAAGATCAGTGCTGGGTTGAGGAGCTGAAATTAGGTAGAAGGAGAAATGGCATCTCCACCTTAAGAGTCAAGAAGGAGAACAGTGCGGGACGGGCCAGACAAGTTTGTAGGCTAGGCGATCGACTGTTGAGCTCTTATTCTATTTGCAAGCTCCAAAAATCCAAACCTTATAAGGCATGTATTTTATAGATAACAATAAGAAGGGATGAAGAAATAATGTCTGAATGACTTCAGTACAACTCTATACAAGGACAGTTTTGTTTGTGTTTTCACCATTTAAAACTTGCACTCCCATTCTAAACACAAAAAAACAAACAGATAGTAACTTTAAATATATGCTTCTACAACATAGTTAAAATTTCCACGTCAATCTCTTTGAACTGTCAGAAAACTAAACACAGGAGTTTTTGGCATGACGTTTTCACGAAACAAGGTATTCTAGATGAATGGGCTCTCTAGATTACTGACGTTTAAATCTGTATATCTTTGATGATTGTTGATCAAATCTTGCCACAATTCAGTGATTCTCCTAAACACTACTGAATTTGATGGCGGCTGTCTGCTACGGTACCAGGCATGCAAGCTGCCCATCTTCACAGGAAGGTGATTCATTCCGTATTACTTCTTAAAAAACTGTTTAATAAGACTGACAGAACTGTTTTAAAAACAAACAAATAAATACTCACTATTACCTTAATTCCAATTTTAATCCACCGTCCACATAAATTAGAATCAACTCAAGGATGCCAAGGAAATCCAGATGACCTGGACGAACCCATGCTCTGTCAACAAAGAGCCACTGCTCAAGAAGTTTATTTTTACTTATTTCTGGATTAGTAGCTGAATTTCAGATTAAAGATGCTAGAAGTACATTCATGGACTAGGAGGTGTGTTAAAAGTACAAGAAAGCTCTTTTTGTCTGAAGGCAAAAACTGAGAAGTCCTTTAGAACACTCTGATTTCTTCTAATCATTCTCTTTCCAGAGCCAAAGTATCCCTCTTAATTCACTTGCCCCACACCCTCCTCAAAAGGCTACCTAATTTAGTTGTTAGAATGCAGCCACTTTTGTTTCAATGCTAGGCAAAATTCCTTCCATCAAACTGTGGCAGAAAAGGAATTCAACCAGAATTCACATTCGTTTTTAATTCATGTTCAAGAAATTTAGATGGATACCATGTCGAGTGTACTTATGGTTTATGGTTTTGCTGTAAAGTCATTTCTTGAAAAACAGTCATTTTTGAAACTATATTTTCAATTTTGAAAAGCATGTTCTGATTTGGTACTTCCTAAAATACAGAAACAATATATCACCAGAGATTTTTATCCTTAGCATCTTGGCAGATTGCTGAAACACTGTTATTGGCTGAGAGGTTTGGAAATTCATGTTGGCTTCCAATAAATCTGAATAAAACCTTTCTATTATGTGCTCAGAGAAAGTAATTAAAACAGTATCAGCTCTTCATCGTCATGATTCAGAGCCTCTAAATTCAAGTTTAGAATATGCAAACTAAGAAGAATTTTAAAAATTAAAATAACTTGAAATGGCGAGGTCCTTAAAACTGAAGTCTGGGGGCTTCCCTGGTGGCGCAGTGGTTGAGAGTCCGCCTGCCGATGCAGGGGACACGGGTTCGTGCCCCGGTCCGGGAAGATCCCACGTGCCACGGAGCGGCTGGGCCCGTGAGCCATGGCTGAGCCTGCGCGTCCGGAGCCTGTGCTCCGCAACGGGAGAGGCCACAATAGTGAGAGGCCCACGTACCGCAAAAACAAACAAACAAACAAAAAAACTGAAGTCTGATAGTCTTGTCACATTTATATTCTACTTATTAATATGCAGTAACTACAAACAACTTCTCCAACTTAAGTTTTCACCAGATTTTTCTATTTTTATATTATTGCATAGACTGAACTCAACTGATCAGTTGCTTAATGACTGCCAATTTCTCTAAAAAAAATCAAGCCTTAGAAATTAAAAAAAAAAAAAAAAGGCAATTTCTAAATAATATTCCAGGGGGCAGGGGAGATACAGGCAGAGGGAGAAAGACAAATACAACAGACCATTATCATATAGTGCGCTTGTGGGTAAGGGAAGTCCAGGGCACTACCAGAACACACAGAAGGGAGTGCCCTGTTCAGGGGGCTGGGGTGGGTGTCAGCAGGGGAGTCTTCCTGGGGAAGCCATGACTGATCTGATTCCTTATACATTCTTCCATTCCAGAATTTATTTTTTTAAAAAAAAGCTGAATCCACTTAAGGAGTCCTTAGAAAAAAGAATACAAATATGAAAATCAATATTGAATTTTTCTAAAAAAGCAGTATCCAAAACCTTTAATATTCATTTTGAAATTGACAATTTATACAATCAGCCATTTCTTAAAGTCAGTTATTTAAAACTTCAATTTTTCTTCTCTTACTTTATTTGAAAAAACCCTTTTGGTGGGTGGGGGGGATAAATTAGAAGTTTGAGATTAACAGATACTACTATATATAAAGCAGATAAACAAGGATCTACTATAGAGCACACGGAACCATATTCAATATCTTATACTAACCTATAATGGAAAAGAATCTGAAAAAGCATACACGTATAACTGAATCATTTTGCTGTACACCTGAAACTAACACAACATTGTAAATCAACTACACTTCAATAAAAATATTTTAAAAACAAAAAAAATTTCTTGGAAAAAGATACTGAATTTTATATAAATACTTAATAACAACTAAAGTTACTTCCCTAATAAATAGTAACAAATCCTTAAAATAATCATATTAATATGCAAATTCTTGATCAGAAGTTCCTGGAAATATCTATCTTGATTTTTAATTTTGAATAGCAATACCTTAAATTACTATATAATTTAATATTCCTGTTATTTCATAATCTCCTAAAAACTATTTGGTAATCAATGATTAATAAGAGTTTTCTAAACAAACAAAGTATTTAAATAATGTGTGAAGAATGGGCTCTATAAGGAATAGGATTTATAAAAACAAAAAGTATAAAGCATTGTAAAACCTCCTGCTATTTAAGCAGAAATTTAAAATATGTATACACATATAACTACTACTCATCAAGTTTCTCAAATTTTGTTTTTCCTTTAAAGAAAAAGAAAAAAGAAATGTTCTCCTTGTGATGCGAACTCTTAGGATTTACTCTTAGCAACTTTCAGATATTAATCATGTTGTACATCACATCCCTAGCACTCATCTAAAACATTCATCTTTAATCTTTTTGTTACTCAAAAATAAAACTGTAACTTGGCCTCTAATGGCTCTGTACTACAATCTGGCAATGGTGTACCTGAAGTATTAAAATAAGAAGGCACACTCCTGCTGCTTCTCTGCAAAGCAAAGAGCTGTTTCATCTGATCTTCAGAGTATTCAGCACCAAGATGCAGAGAGAGAAATATCTCCCGTGGGGCTCTGATTCCTGCTCTGTCCGGAAACCACCACTGTTATTTCCCAACCCTGACTTTAAATGAAACCATACCATGCAGAGACTTGTAGATGAATTATTTTGGTCAATCAGGGCTTAGTGTCCGTAATTTTAAAATATGCTTGGAAATGTTTATAAGTATCAGCACACTCCTAAGTAACAGAGAATTATGAAATATGCAGAATGAGCTGAATGTTAATGCTTCAAACCTATCATATCTAATCTATCGTATCTAATCGGCCTCCTGCCAACTTCTCCAACTCGAACAATCCAGCCTGGGTTTCAAAACCACCCCTCTGTCATCTGATCTCAGCATGCCTTCCTAGCCGTATCCTTTGCTATCCTCCACATGAATACTGTAATCCAATTTGTCCATCAACTGCCCCTAGAATACTGCCCTCTTGTCCACACACAGGTGACAAGATTTATTGACCTGTCTGATTCTGGTTGCCCCCCTGTCCTTTAGGGAGGGTTCGGTTCCCAGGCCTTCTGAGCTACTGCAGGGACAGCAGGAAGGTTCTTTCTTGCCTGTCTGCCAGCTCTTGAGCTTTCCTTTGACTCAAGGAAGAAAAAACCCACCTTATGCTTAGCAAATATAAAGCCAAGAAGCAGGCTGATTTATATAATAAAGGGCTGGGGGTGAGAGAAGAATCCACAGCCTAGAGAGTATCCACCTGGCAGAGAGAAGTGGGGAGGAGACGAAAGGGGGATTTTGAGAAGTGCTGGTATGGAGTATGAGTTGGATGTCCTTCAGGAGATACAAGTGAATGTGGAAATTCCTTTCAAATATACTTTGGGCAGCTGTTCAGCGTTTCTCTGAATATGACCGACCTCCCCCACAAAAGAGTATGGCTCCCGTGGCACTCGGGTAGGAGGGACACTTGGTTTATGCTATGTGCCCTCCTATGCGCCCTCCTGCTCTCTCCCTGCCAGAGAAGGTAAAATTGCTGGTTTGGTATAAAACAAAATGTACACATTTACATACCATCACTTCTAAACAGGATTTATTCAGCTTAACAGAAATGACTGGCAACAGATCCCTAGAAACAAATTTAATAGAACAAGTCAAGTAAGGGAAGCTGAGAGAATGTCAGAAAAGGAATGAGACAGTTGTAGCAAAGATGTGAGGTTAAGGATAATTGCTGCAATTACAGCAGAGGGTCAGGAAAGACAAATGCATCGACATAATTCTGCAAAGTCTTCTTTGAGATATAACTGACATATAACATTGTATTACAAAGATGTTTTAAATGAATTCAGTTACTTAGTAATCTCCCAATGATATTTAATTTTAAAGCCCTTTTAATGCTCTTACTTTTTAATTACAAAGTATGAGGAAATGTATTTTAGAAATCTTAACATCACACTTGAACCCCTAGTGGATACTACACTGGGTTTCCTTTTAATGTCTTCAGAGCTCCTGGTCTCTCCCCGCCTCCCGGCTTCCTGCACAGAGGA